AAGGAGTACAACAAGGCTGTATATTGTCCCCCTGCTTATTTAACTTATATGCAGAATACATCATGTGAAAGGCCGGACTGGAGGAATCCCAAGCCGGAATTAAGATTGCCAGAAGAAATATCAACAATCTCCGATATGCAGATGATGCCACTCTGATGGCAGAAAGTGGGGAGGAATTAAAGAACCTCTTAATGAGGGTGAAAGAGGAGAGCACAAAAACGGTCTGAAGCTCAACATCAAAAAAAAAAACTAAGATCATGGCCACTGGTCCCATCACCTCCTGGCAAATAGAAGGGGAAGATATGGAGGCAGTGACAGAGGTTACCTTCTTGGGCTCTATGATCACTGCAGATGGTGACAGCAGCCACAAAATTAAAAGACGCCTGTTTCTTGGGAGGAAAGTGATAACAAACCAAGACAGCATCTTAAAAAGCAGAGACATCACCTTGCCAACAAAAGTCTGCATTTAACAATTTCAGGTTTATCCAAACCCTGTCAGTCTGCATAGTCAAAGCTATGGTTTTTCCTGTAGTGATGTCTGAAAGTGAGAGCTGGACCATAAAGAAAGCTGACCGCCAAAGAATTGATGCTTTTGAATTGTGATGCTTGAGGAGACTCTTGAGAGTCCCCTGGACTGCAAGGAGAACAAACCTATCCATTCTAAAGGAAATCAACCCTGAGTGCTCACTGGAACGACAGATCCTGAAGTTGAGGCTCCAGTACTTTGGCCATCTCATGAGAAGAGAAGACTCCTTGGAAAATACCTTGATGTTAGGAAAGAGTGAAGGCAAGAGGAGAAGGGGATGACAGAGGATGAGATGGCTGGACAGTGTCACTGAAGCTACATGAATTTGACCCACAGCCAGTATCCTAAACCCATCCTTGAATCCAGCTAAGGAATATCCCTCTTAGGGGTGGTCCTGCAGCCATGACCCAAGAACTGCAACTTTAATTGGGCTGGGCCCCTTTACCCAGATTACTGCCTCCGCTGCTGGGCTTCCTTCTGCCATTAGGGCCTCTTAGCTGCCTTGCCACCCACTCTGAAGCAATCGGCGCTGGGATGCAGCCCTCCGCACACCGTGCATTCGTGCTTAAACCTACACTGCTTTTTGAACATGCTCCTTTTGAGTTATATTCCCAACACATCAGGTGGGGTTGAACCATCTGCCCCATGTTACTGCAGGGAGCCTTATTCACTGCTGTCTTCCTGATTAAGTGCCCGCTGTTGGTCCTATCCCCTAAATTGGGCCTGGCTGGCATCATGAGCTGCAACCAGAGACCCTTCAAAGGTTCGTCCCACCTCAAGTTGGGATGGATAGCACTTCTCATGCGAAATGCTTTGCCATAAGAAAGCCATGCCTGTCCCACAAAATCTGCATAGGCCCGATATATCAGATCTAGGTATTGAAATAGTGCGGCAACCTGCCAAGGCTGCGCCTTCACCACAACTCCTGCATATATCAAAAAACCGGGCAGCCAATTGGACCACACCTGGCAGCCAATTGCACATCCTCCTTCCAGGCCTTTTACACCTCCACCTTTCCTTATCCTTCTCATCCTCCTTCTCTATGTCTTTCTTCTCTGTGTTTCTCTTCAGTAGCTTGAATAGATCAACATACTAACCTTCTATATCCTTTCCTTTGTGGTTGGTGCTAAATGGTCTCATAGGGGCACGCTTCCACTCCTGCTTTCCCCACCGATGTACACGGAAACAATTACTCAAACAATCAACCTTTTTAAATTCAAACAATAAATTCAAAAGTAGTTAATAAAATCCAAACAGAAATGCAATATGAGATGAAATCCAGACCACAGCAGGGAGTCACTGCTGCCCTCCAAATCCATAGCATTGGGAGTTGTGAGGTCCAGCCCACATGCAGAGCCAGTGGCAGACTGGACAACAAAGTCTCCTCAATGCAATGCCAGCAAGAAAGAGTGAATAATGATGTCATGGTTTAGATTATTAAGGCTAAAATGTAATTTCTGAATGGGATTTGTAGTCCTGGAACTGTGTAGAAGGAATCCATATTGGTCTGTGTTAGCATAACTAGATGCTTCGAGAAGCTGTTTTCTCTTAGAGCTAGTTGGAATTTTCCATGAAGCAAGCTTGGCCAGAGATGATAAGGGTCAAGACGCAACATCAGGAAGACGGTCAACAACACCTGCACATCCCATGGGAAATGGAGGTGGAGTGTGAAGAGACCATTCTTCATCCTGATTGGTTTATGTCACAGGAGAGTGAAGAAGAAGGGTGGTCCTAGCATGGAAGAAAATGGAGAATGGAGACAGAAAGAGGACTTGATTTTTAACTGGATTTTTGACTTGATTTTTGCCTTGGATTTTTGAGGATGGACTTTTGAGTTCCAATTGCTATTTTTAGTATTATGCTAGAATGTAGTTCAGAGTAAGGATAGAGAAAGGGGGGCTATGCCTTGCCTGCCTTTCTAGCTATTTTTAGAGTTTTTTATTTTATTTTTATAACTGGAATTTGCTAAAGTTCTAACTGCTTTGATTTATGGAAATGTACTTAAATGCTATGCTTTGCAACAAACTGAATATCTATAAATACTTTATTTTTCTAATAAAACAATAATTCTTATAATTTTATGTTTGATCTCTAGAGCAGCAAACCTACATAATTATCTATAGGCCACAGATATGCTACTTGAGTCCATTAATTGCCTGAGTTTTGTTCATCTTGGCAGACTCCAAAACTCATTTATCTTGGTTTTTCTCTCAGTTAATTGCTCATTTGAACAGACTTTGGAAAAGGAGTAGGTGGGACTGCCGTGCTGGGTATCCGGACTCAGCTCAGCTCATTTAGGAGTACACTTGCCCCTGGAACCTCTCTGTTCAGGCCGCAGGTTATCTCTTAGGAGACCTGTGTGTTTACAAATGAGGGGTGAACAACCCTTATATGACCTGCCACTCACCCCTCCTCCAAGGCTGCTCTCACGAGACAGCCTTGTGATCTTGCATCCATCCAGGGAAGCAGGGCAAAGGCACGCTATGCTGCTGAAGCCTCGGCTGAGCAGCGGCATATTCATTACGCTTATCCACCTTCCTCTCGTCCCGTTTACAACCATTTTTCTTTGTGTAGGTGCAAACCCGAGGAGCATTTCTGCTGTCAATGGAGATGGGGAGACTGCTCGGACTGGAGGAAACCGAGAAGGCAACCGTGCAGGACCAGCATATGCTTAGGCTGTTGACACCGGTTGTCAAGCTTTACACTGGAAAACAGGTAGTGCACTCTGAGAGAAGAAGAGAATCATTCACAGGAGGCTTGTGCTAAAGCAACGCAACAGATGAAGCCAGGATTTTGCTATTCACTGGCCAGCCAGTCTTGAGACGGTAATAGGTACCGTATTTAAACAGCCCATCCCTTCTCTCTTATTCATGTGTACATACAAGATTTGAACAAGTGCACACTTCCAGGGACCAAATACTCAGGATCTGTCTTCTATTGTTTTCCTGGCTTGCGGGGTGGTTTTCTTGATCAGTCTAGATCATGGGTCTCAAACTTGCAGCCCGTGGGCCAATTGCTGCCTGCGGGATGATAGTTTGTGGCCCCTACCTTAATATGAAAGTTTAATGTTAGTGTGGCCTGCGTGTTTGATATGTGTGGCACTTTACAGTGTTGTGCGTGGAGCTGAACAGAACTACCAAACATGGTGGGGTATATGGCTCTTGGGGGTGGGACATCGGCCAGGCTTGATGCAAGCAGAGATACATTTCTCAATGAGTGAAAGTTACAGCAGTGTTGCATGGAGTGTTTTCTTCTGTGCCTGGCTGGCTGCCTCGATTGTATTGGGCGCACGTAAACATTCATCCCAGTGCGCTGCGTTCACAACACTTCAAGTTTTTTAAGTTGCTGTCCAGCAGGACATTATATAAATCGAAGTGATGTGTACGCAGCAGGATAAAAGAAAAGTAAGGAACTCAATGCAGCTTAATGTGGTCTGCAGTCACATAGCGACACCTGTCCATCGGCAATAACAATCCCCAGTAACCCAAACCAATTATAGGGTCACACCGTTATTTGTGGGTCATTGGTTTTTATTTGCATCGCGCTATTTGCATTGCCTCACACAATGAACATTACATATATTTCTATATGATGTAAAAGTAGTCAAATGACATCAGCAATAGCACAGTGTCATTTCCGCTTCTTTTTCCTGTAACAATAGCACGGTGCATAACAGTCTGTGAGCAGTCGCCTTTTTTGCACATGCTATCCTGGTACTTTCTATCATCTACAAATGCAATGGTGTTCATGTCATCATGAAGGAAATGAACATCTAGCATAAAAAGAAAGGAGACTGCTACCGGACTTTTATCCACCAACCACCATGCTGTGGTTACAAGAAAAAGAAGCGGAAATGACATTCTCCATGAGTTGAGACGATCGCTGTGCGTCGGCTAAATGCTTGATTGAAACTTCAATGCAACGGTGACATCAAGCGAAATTATATATATTACATAGCCCCAAACATGTCTTTTTCAAAACCTGCAGTGAAGAGAAAGGTTGGTGATGAGCAAAGATAATTTCAGGAAAAGTGGGAAATGCAATATTTCGTTGTTGAGGACAGGGGCACCCCAAAGTGTCTGATTTGCACAGAGAAAGTTGCAGTGCACAAGGAATACAATTTGAAACGCTATTACACAACTAGATTGATTTATTTTCTTATTAATTCTTAATTTGTTTATTTATTTTTTACATCTTATTTTGTGTTAAAAAAAAGAGATTTGAGAAAATTGGAATTTTTTAAACAAAGCTGTTCTTGTGGAAAACCTGATGTGGCCCAGCCTCTCCTAGACTCTGCCTCCAGTGGCCCTCAGGTAAATTGAGTTTGAGACCCCTGGTCTAGATTGTCCTCAAGCTTTGCACAGCTTTCCAGTTTTATTCCTCTTCATGTAAGAATATGGGTGTTAATTTTGAAACACTAGAGAAGGCTGGTGCCGAGCTTGTGGCTGCTAAGCCACATGAAATACTTACAGTGAGGTGCCTATGCAGAATGTGCATTGCTTGCTTCAGGACAGCAGTTCAAGGATGCTGCAGGAAACAGAGCCCTGTACTTGGTTACAGAAACCTTAAAGCTGTCTCCTGTGTGTGCAGGCCTGCTTAGCTGTTGTGATAAAAGTATGTCAGTGTGCCTTTCTCTTGGCTAGGAGAGGGAAGGAAAAAGAAAGGAACATCAAAAGACGAAGTAATAAGCCTAATAGCAGTAACCTCAATATATATACTGTATACAGAGAAAACACAAGCTAGGAATGCACACCTTGGTGATCTGCTGGCACGCACGTATGCATGTGCACGCGCGCGCGTGCACACACACACACACACAGAAAATAAACTCATTTTTATATTATTTATTTATTTTTCTCCTTATAGAGGTAGGGTGGGGTAAGGGATAACTGGGATAAGGATACATTTAGAGGGGGTGGATTTGAACGATCACATTACAAATCGGTATTTCCCCTCCCCCCATAATAATTCTAAATAATCACTTCTAAAAATAATTCCAATTATCATACAAAATATATACATTGTGTAAAAAAAATCTAAATTCAGAAAGGTATTTTGTAAATTCAGAAAGGTATTTTGGCTCTTCTCCCCAGAGCCAGACTTTTGCCGAAAGCCGCAGGCTTATTATTTTTTTTTTTTTGCTGCAGCCGCTTCTGCTTGAGAGCAGAAGCTTGGGACATGGATACAAAATAAATCCTCATCTTCAGTAATGTTATGTGATTAGAAAGCAAAACATTGCCATTAAACGTGAACATCTCTATAATCTTAATTTGGCATATTGTTTTTAATGTGGATGATATTTTGTTATTTTTTAAACAAACCATGCACAGTTTCAAAGTATTTTTCTAGTGATTATATAATCTGGGCCACTTTGACATTAAGCCTGCATATATTTTAGAATCACTATATTAGTCGAGGCATTGATTTTCAATTAAATAAAAAGGTGTGCTCTAAGTGCAATGTAAATATTTAATTAAATAATACCAATTAGAAAATGGTTTTGCTTTGAAAAGCCCTTTATATGAACTGAAAAGGTCTAATTTCTGTATTGATATACTGAGAAAGTGACCAATGTATGATTCACAATCACCAGCCACCCCACCGAGCCACCCACCCACCCCTAGCCCAGAGAAAACAGCGCCTACAGATACAACCGGCCCTTTGATGGGGACCAAACTGCTGATGCGGCCCCCGATGAATTTGAGTTTGACACCCCTGCACTAAGGGGAAACCTTACAGATAAATAGATTAGCAGCTCATCAGGCTTCTTCAGCAACGCGCTTCTCCTTTATTCAGTCTTCCATCCTACTCCCACCTATCTTCATATATCACTATAGCTTTATAGATGTTCGGTTCAAATATAGTAATGTCATAAATCTGCTTACAGCAATGTCTGTAAATCTTGGATATAATTGTGTGTCCGTCCTCCTCCAACCTTCTGGACCTCGTCAATTATTCAGACCCACATGGAGTCCTGCCGAAGAGAATGCCAATCTTCTGGGAGAGGGAGGTAGGAACTGGCTGCCCCTGTCTTCTCAGACAGCACTTCTCTTCTTCGGAATATATTTCCTCTCCTGGAAATTTATTCAGGCTATCTCAAGCCTACAGAACCTCCATCAGCTGTTACAAATGAGAGAGAACTCTCTCTTTGCAACCTCCATCCATCTTCGCTCTACCTCCCTCCCACTTTTTCACAAAATAAACTCCTGATTAGATCACTTGCTCTCTATGTTGCAGGCTGTTGCGGTCATCTCAGAAGGGCTGGAATGTTTCGGAGGGCAGGGCTTCATGGAAGACACAGGTCTGACGTCGCTTGCCCGTGATGTCCAGGTAATGATGCCAGAGTCTCTTTTCCTCACCCTCTGCAGACAGTGTCTACTCAAAGTAGACCTAGAAGAGGGTTGTCCAATTTTTGCTTGCACGCCCCCGGTGTTGGTATGCACAACACCTCCCAAGGTCATGGGTTCCATTACCGTCCTGCTCTAACAGTTAGGAGGTGTTTCTAGAAGAGGGTTGTCCAATTTTTGCTTGCATGCCTCCGGTGTTGGCATGCACAACACCTCCTGAGGTCATGGGTTCCATCGCACCACTGCTCTAATAGTTAGGAGGTGTTTCCTGATATTCCACCAAAGTCTGGCTGCCTGTAACTTGAGTCCCTTCTTCCGTGTCCAGCACGCTGGGATGATTGAGAACAGACTCTGCCCTTTCAGTATCTGAGAAGTGCTGTTCTATCTCTCCTCAGTCTTCTTCTCTTGTGCCCAGTTCTTTTAATCTTTCCTCACAGGACTTGGTTTCCAATCCCCTGATCGTCCTTGTTGCCATCCTCTGAACTTGTCCCACTTTGCCAGCATCCTTCTTAGATCGCTGTGTCCTACAACTGGACACGAGATGGGGTCTAACCAGTGCTGACTAAAGAGGAATGGGTACTTAGTGGGATCTGGAGACTGTATTTCTGTTAATGCACCCTAAAAGAGCATCTAGCTTGTCACTGGGTGGGACTGAGATCCTTTTCCTTGCATTTTTCTGGCTCTGTGCCTCATTCTTCAACAGGTGCTTACAATATGGGAAGGGACAACAAATATCCTTTCGTTGGATGTTCTTAACTCCATTGTCAAAAGCGGAGGAAAAGTCCTGGATGCCTTCTTCTCTACAGCCCAGGTGAGCTCTCTCCAAGCACCAGTTACTCTGCTCCATTATACTGTACTGTTGCACGTTGTAAATGTGATGAGGGTCCAAATAGGCCCAATGGATTTTTCACAATTTGGGCACTGGAAGTCAGCAGTACTGTCCTATAGAACCATAGTCAATCATGTGATAAGCCAGTAGCATAATGCAGCAGCAATAAAGACCAGAACAATTCTCAGGTTAGCAGAATAATAGTTTTCAAGTCAACAGCAGTAACTGATCCCACTTTGTAGGTTTCGGGGAACATGCTCAGTTTGTCTTACAGTTGGTTTCTTTGCAGGCCAAGCTGGAGGTCGCTCTTGGTGCCCCTGAACTAGAACCTTCTGTGCAAATTGTGCAGTAAGCGCTCCACAAACTCAGACTCTTCACACAGGAGATGGGATTAAGGGGGGAAGAAGGGATGCAGTTGTCAGCAAGAGACTTTGCCTACAACCTTGCACGGATCTATGGAGGTAATGAAATAGCTCTTATGGAGTTCCATTGTTAACTTGTTAATACAAAAGAAAGCAGAACTAATTACAATGAGTTGGCAAGAAGCTTATGATCTTCAGGTGTTGCACAATGACCTTTTGATTAAAACCTGCCCTAGAAGTCTTTTCTTCAATTATTAAAAAAAACAAATGGGTTATTGGACCTACACAGCAAAAAAAGATTCTCCACAGGTAGATGTGAAAGATGTCTTAAGGTGGACGATGCAAAGGATGCAGTGTCTGGAAAGTGTAGGAGGAAGATATTCATGAGGCAGAGATTGGCTTCCAACACTTGTGGTGGAAATAAAGATAAGAGAGTAGACATAGAATGGAATTTTGTTCTCAGTGCAAATGAAGTCCTGGTCTGAAATTACTACTCAGCTGGAGCAGTGCATGAGCAGGGAGTGGACCATTCTCCCACGCTGTGCAGGCTACCTGGTCTTGTCTCCTTGTGGCCATCCTTAGCATGTGGGCAAGGCCAGAGTTTTCCTCCTAGGCAGGAGGTGGCATCCAGGAGACTCACCCACTTTTCATACAAGATCAGAAGACGTATTGAAGCTTTTGTGTGACCAGATACAAACGGTACCTTGCTGCAGCTGCAGATGAAAGACGGGACTAGACAGCCTGCACCTGCCCTTGCTTTCAGTTCAGGGTGAGGAATAACTTCCGAATAAGACTTCGGCATTATAGGAACTCTTAGTACAACTAACCCCTGAGTAAGAATGATTTTCTCTGGCTTAGAAGAACTATGCAAGGAGAGAGTAGAGAGATGCAAATTCTTCCAGCAACCCTGCTACACAGATTGGAGAAGGACTGTCCATGACAAGAAATGTCAGTCATATTTATTACAGTGGTGCCTTGACTAGGATAATTCGTTCTGTTGAAATCGCTGTTAAGCAAAATCCTCATCAAGCGAAATGAAAAGGCCTATTGAGATGCATTGAATTCAATGCGTTCCAATGGGATAAATACCTCAGCGTCCAGCGAAGATCCTCCATAGGGCAGGCATTTTTGGTGCCTTTAAAGCGAGGAATCTGTCCTAAAAACACAGCCAGGAGCCATTTTGCACAGCGGGCGGTCATTTTAGAGCCGCCAATCAGCTGTTTCAGAATTGTCATTTAGCGAAAAATCGGTTCCCAAAGCAGGGAACTGATCATCGTTATGCGAATTTTTACCATTAAAACATCATTTTGCGATTGTCAAGCGTTTTTGTCATTTAACGAGGTAATTGTTAAGCAAGGCACCACTGTATTACTACTAATGGTGGCAATTACAGATTTCATCTGCCTTCCACATGATGTGAATGTCATAACGTATGGTCCCCAGAGGACTGAAAAGGGACTGTTCCTAAACATAGGGAGCCCACCAAGTACAACAGGCTTCCTCCAGCAGACCTTGGGTGCCTCAGGTGTGGAGGGTGGGAGGACAGTAGCTTTAGGGCACAGCACCTGCTCTGCAGACAGAGAGGACCAAGTTTGATTCCCTGGCATCTCCAAGCAGGGCAAGAGAACATGCTTCTTGGAAACCTGCAGAACCGCTGCCTGTCACAGTCAACTGGTAACAAGGATGATCATTCAGCGGTGTTAAAGGCTAATGTATTTGTCTTGTAGGAGTTCTCTTACTGGAACACGCTGCCAGGCCCAGAGCATCTGCCACAGACATCTTTACTGCACAGAGGTATTAAAGAAGCCAAAGCTGCACTCCACAAAGGGCTGCCTGAGCTGTCAGAGGCTATGCAAACACACTACTGTTGCTCCAAGGACAGTCCTGAGATGCTGGAAGGCAGGGCAGCTCTGTGAGGGAGGGGGAAGGGAGAGCTTGCCTGGGACAAACGTCACATAAGATCCACAAAACGAGCCATTTTGGTGCTCCAGGGAGATCTTACACATTTGTGGTCTCTATATTCCAGAACCTGTGACCAGGCACATGCCCTCTGATCTCTGATCAGTTCACAAGAAATGTTCATTTTGACATTGTTCGGAGTGAGAGGAATGCTGACATGGTGCAACACTTTAATCTCAATCTGAAAGTTTCAGTATAAACGAGACACACTTTTCTTGAACCTTCCACAGGTGGTGTCAACAAGACCTGTGCCTTGTGGACAGAGAAGACAAGGCCGGCTCTTACAGCCCTGCGGCAGCTTCGCTGGATCATGCTTTGGTTTTTGGTGGATACCCATTTGTGAAAGGAAAACTGTAATGAAGCATCAAGAGTACAAACGTAGGGCTATGTGCTGGGTTGCAGAAACAAATTGAATGTATACACTTCTGATTCTTTTCTGCCGAATACTAACTGATTGCTTATTATAAGAATTTAATCATGTGACAGCAAGTCAATTCTGACTTATGGTGACTCTTTCCAGGGTTTTCCAGGTATGGAATAAAGAGACATGATCCTCAGACTGTGCAGCTGTGGAGAGCATTTCTTCTTGTGTGGACTTTTGCTATACATATGAAATTCATGGGCTATCTTTATATAATTGCTAGATCCCCGGACTTATACATGGTTATATTTCAAATTTGCAATGAGGGAGGTGTCCACACAGTTTGCCCAAGGTCAGACAGGTTGCTGCAGTGACAGGAGAGCCAGCTTGGCATTAAACTCCCAACCCCTGGCTCTGAAGCCAGGTAGCAAAACCACGGAGCTATCCATCAGGATCTGGCCCGTACCTCTCTGGAAGCTGCAGGATCAGGGCCAACCTGAGCCAGGAGTGGCCTGGTGTTTGCAGGCTC